CATCGGAGTAAAAACGCAATAAAACAAAACGCGCTGATAAATTCTGTTACTTCCGAGTTTTCTCGGTATCATAAATATTTGCAATCTATGGATAACTGAGTTAACTCGGGATTATCAGGGAAGCAACGTATGTTTGCTAATTTTTAAAAGTGGAAATGCTACTGGAGTGTGAGGGAAACAGTTTTTAAGATCACTGAAATCTTTTGAGTTTTTGTACTATCGTAACATTTAACTTCTTGGATCATCAAGTCATTTCGAAAAAGTCACTTAATAAGATTACGTCTATGCAGAACAAAACTGTTAATATGTAGGAATATTTTTAGAAGGCGCATTATTATGTTTTTTTTAAATGCTATACACTATTGTATCATTTAATAAGTCTTCATATATCATCTTACTGAGTGATGCTTANCCTTTTTTTTTCTATGTAAATCCAGCTACTAGCGTATGTACAATCGTACAAAAAGCAAGTAAAAAGGAAACAGAAAAAATTGGCAACCTTTCAATCACAGCAGATTATCTTTCGTTTTGCTTCCAGCGGAGTAAAAACGCAATAAAACAAAACGCGCTGACAAATTCTGTTTCAGCCGAGTTTTCTCGATATAATAAATATTTGCAATCTATGAGTTAACCGAGTAACTCGGGATAATCAGGGAAGCAACGTATGTTTGCTAATTTTTAAAAGTGGGAATGCTACTTGAGTGTGAGGGATACAGTTTTTAAGATCTCTGAAATCTTTTAAGTTTTTGTACTATCGTAACAAGTCTTCTTGGATCATCAAGTCATTTCGAAAAAGTCATTTAATAAGATTACGTCTATGAAGAACAAAACTGTTAATATGTAGGAATATTTTTAGAAGTCACATTATTATGTTTTTTTAAATGCTATACACTATTGTATCATTTAATAAGTCTTCATATATCATCTTACTGAGTGATGCTTATTAAATGATTCGTCCTGAAGGAAAAGATAGTTGAAATTCAAATTTTTATGACTTGGAAAATCCTTGAAACAAGGAAGGGACTTTACTTTTTCGTTTTGGATTTAACGAAAATAAAATATTTAATATAAGTTGTTATATTATTTCCCTTATACCATCTTATAAATTTAGAAAACTGTTCATTAATATTTACAAACCGAGAGTTTCTTTATTTATCTCGATTATAAAAATAGACAATTTTTAACAGGACCAGTGAAGAACAGAAACGGGTTCAATTGGGTGATGTAAATCAATTTTGGGAGTTTGTTGACTATGTCATTTACTCATAAAATTAAATATATTATTTTCCAATGCTACGTCCTTAGATTTTAATAATTTTCATTTATAATTATTATATCGTTTTTATGATTCTTATGATTATCAAACAATTTTTAAAAAAACCTAGAAATTGAGGAGGATTCTGACAAAATCCGATAGTTGTTTATCGATAATTCTTTAAAATGAAACATAGACTCAATGAAATGTATGATTTTTATAATAAACAGTCATGGAGTAGACTTCAATATCATTCAAATATTTAAATAAAAGAATGGGTCTGTCGAAATTAGAATCCGTGACCACGGTAAAATACTTGGGTGTACATATTGATTTAAATTTAAAATCGAATGCAAATTACATAAGATCTTCAGGTGATCGAATTATTCTTTAAATTATGCATGGATATACTTATAAGTTGGAGGGGGAGACTAACTAACATAATGTCAAATTTATTAATACAGATAAAAGGAATTAATCACTACCAGTTACTCTACATATTACCAATCCGTTTTTCTCAAACAAACTCTTTTTTTATATATATATAACCTTTACTAAACAGCCGAAACAAATATAATATAATACAATATTTTATAACCGTCGTTGAACAACCGACCCAATTTTTATGGGTTTTTGACTAATAATGTTCAAGTCCGTAACCTTGTCCTTTTGAACCCATTCCAGAAGACAAGAGAACTCCTGAATCAAGTTTTGGGAGAAATTATCCTTCTTTTGATGGAACTAAGCCGCATTTGCGTTGCATGGAGAGGAAGACCACGAGAACCTCTCACGATTAGTTTGACGGCAGGGGAACTCATAATCCGTCTACCGCTGAGGATATTTCACGTCACCACTGTGGTCGACCGGATGGGGAATTCCTATCGATCCGCCATCGCTCTCATTCGAACCCAGTTCGCCTCATTGGAAGGCGAACTTACTATTTCCTGAGACAGTTCTCTTAGCTGAAAAGACACGACTGTCACAGAACCATACAGTCATGATGGTTAAACACTATTTAAGCGACTAGATAAAAAAAAAACTTATATCAATGAGGATAAATGGCGTCTATCTTATTTTGAGTATCAATTTCTATGTAATGGTGACCTTACTTACAGTGGAAGGACTGTGCATCCTACATACTTCAGTCTTGCTTATAGCTCACTTGGGTAGAAAACACTCCTATCGGGTTTTAATCACGATTTTAAAAGCTGAACAAGCCACTTTTTTTCTTTTCTTAATTTTTCCATTTTAATTCGCTCAAGGCTAAATGAAATGCGGTTTACCATTTCATGATTTTAATCTGCAATCAACCATTACTAAAGCTAATATCGAAAAAAGAAAAAAAAACTAAAAAGACTTAGTGCACACTATTAAAAATTATCATTTTCTTATTAAAATTATTGCTTAGTGCAGTATTTAAACAAATTTTGTGCAGGAAAAATTAATATTTTTTTGTCTATTAAATGTTATTAGGATTGCTTTTGAATATAGATTCCAACAATTAATAAACTGCAAGTGTGTATTCTTTCCATTGTTTTAAAATTCGTAAAACAAAATAGGTTAGAAAGAAAAGTAATATTAAACTGAACGGGAAACTAAATTTTGTATATCCATCAGGGGCAGTTTTTCGATTATCAGAGCTGATTTCGTCATGATGGTTAAACATCTTTAAACAACTAAAGCGAAAAAACTAAAAATTGTTTTAATTAAAAGGTTATATTTTAAATTATCTTGATTCATTTGAAAAACTTAGAGAACATTTCGATTATCTACGTGAAAGGCTTATAAGTTCCTTCATGTCTTTTATTTTAAACTATATTTAGTTTCTATCTTCTTAAATAGTATATTTTCCATTACGGCAATAGCTAATGCTCAATTCATTTTGAGAAATACAACAAATAAAGAATAAAAAAAGTAAACAAAAAAAACTTTATTCCTCACTTTATTTATTTTTTTTGTTGAAAAAAAAGCCATGTTTATGATTGAGCAATTTTTTTTTTAAATTCACGACTCAAAATTCAATTCAGATAAAAGCTAAACTTCTAAATCAACCAAAAATATCTGGTTTTTTTGTTTTTTGATGCGTTGCAATTTTCAGTTTTTTTTAATCGCGAAGAGCATCAAAATTATTAAATGTGTTGTTGCGAGTGTGGATTTGACTGTCAACGTTCCTAAAAGAGTGACGATCTTTTTTTCGATCCTCTTATATTTATCTTGAACTTCTTTCTTAGATTACATAATTATATTTTGTTGGAAATTTTCCTGCAATTTTTTGCAGTTTTCTATCAGTTTGAGAGACATTTTTAAACTTCTATGAACAAATAATGTAGTTTGAAATATAATAAATGAAAGCAGATTTTAGTTTCATAAAAAAACAGGAAGAAAAAAAATGTATTTAAATTTAAATGGAAATTCAAAAAAAAAATATATATATTTAAATTATAAATCTCTAATAATGAAACGATGAGTTTGTTGTTTCTGAGTATGCGTGTTTCTCTTATAATTTCATATAATAATCATACACTATTAGAGTATGCTGGCGTCCTGAAATTAACACAGCGAGGAACAAACAATGGATTGAAATTTTCTTTTAGTTTCAATAAAATATAACCTTTTTTTCACGATTATATCACAATGTTTTTGTGCTTTGTTTGTTATGTTACACATTTGAGACTTTTGTTAATTTTTTTTTAAAACTTGATTCTTATTCATCATAATTTAAGATTTAAGTCTTTTTTTGACAAAAAATTCTTAAACAGAAGATTATGGCATCAAATTCTTATTCCCTTTCATGTTAAAATAATCAAAAAAGTGTAAAGGATTTGAACAAGAATAACTTTTTGAAAACCGATACAAAAATTTTTAAGAAACCCCCCCTCCCCCAAAGCTAGTCATTAAACCTTAGCAAAACAGGAACAATCGATTTTCTTTCCAATACTAAGCTTGGCAGATGGATTGCAATTATTTTACCATTTAAGGGGGGGGACCTCAAATATGTTAATTAATGAGTGCAAGAGATATTTTAAGTCACGAAATCCGACACAAAAACGTACTTTCTCTCAATAAGCATACTTTTTTTCCGACGGTTTTGGATTTCTGTCCCCCTCCCCCCAAATATAGAGGGTAACCTCAATCTGTAAAATAAGGTCCCCATAGTTTTGTCAATAAAGCGGCTCAAAGTTTGGACCCTTGCTAATTTTATTTTTGCTTTCATTTTATTTTTTGCGTATTCCGCCATATCTCGAGAATATTTTAAGTGAATCGAAAACTTTTTGCACACAACTCTATAATTCCTTTATGCAAAGATAATTTCATGCAAAAGAAACTTGTGATAAATATTCATTGTTTTTTTTAATTTTTTTATTTAATAATAGTCGGAAAAAGTTTTTTAATCGTTAGGTGTACAATTTTTAACTTAATTTTAAAGCATGTCATTTCACATGACAAAATACAAAATTTGAGCAAAACGGGTGGAATAGTTCTTGAGAAACTGAATTTTTAAAATAAGGCTTTTTTAAAATTTGATTAGTTTTATATTTTGTGTTTTGTCTATTAAAATTACACGCTTTAAAATGACGTAAAAAAATGAAACGCTTTACAATTCAAATTTTTTTAGACAATTATTAAATAAAATACCCAAAAAAAAATATAAATATTTAATAAAAGTTATATTTTTCATAAAATTATGTTTGGATAAACAAATTTATAGTAAATATGGTATATTTAAGCAAATTTCACCACTTACCAGAAGCTGCCGTCACAAGTAGTCCAATCTGTAATCCAATGTTTATAAAGAGCAACACATTGCGGCAATCACCCATTATTGTTAACTACTGCTATGTACAAGCTTGCAATCCTATGCAATCTACACACCCATGGAACACCACTCTGAACAACAAAAGTAGCCACTCTATATTTTTTATCTTATTTCCTCCTCAGCTAAATGAAAAACGTCAACAAGAAGAAAATGTCCCACTAACTCATGATTGCCGAGACAGATAAGAAAGAAAAACTCTCGTGTGGGATGTCGTCTGTCGATAGAACAACTTCTGCTGCCCGAGATTCAGAAAAGCAACAGGTGAGTGACTCGAATTCTCCAAAAAGTTCTTAAACTTCAACGATTGGTGCAAAGTGATTGTGACGTAGCCTGGATGCCCCGTGGTCACAACTAGTTTCTGTAAAGAGTGTGAAGAGATATAACGGTGTTTCTTGGTTGACTTGCTACGGGAGCATCCTCTTCTTTTTTTGGATCTCAGGGACATCCTTTGGATTAATTCTTGAGCGAGGACTCCTGTTGTTGTTTACCCTTTATTCATCCCCGCTTTTGTGTGGAAGAGCCATGAAGATATCTTTCCTTTTTTCACCCCGTCCGCAATATTTGTTCGGCCTTATTTGTTTGTTGTGGTGTCTTAGAACAGAAATATTTCTGCTGCAAGAGTTCTATTTACAGTTCCCTTGCCAAATTATGAAACGCACTCTAAGATTCTATGTAAAATATTAATTATCAGGTGATACTCTATAACAGCTTTATTGTTTTTACGAGACAGTTTGCACTTGTTTACGAGAGTGTGTCAATGGGTTAACATTGTAATGCAGTACGTTAAGAATAAATGCCAACAGGAAGTGTATAAAATATCTCCTAAATAAAAACCCATTACATGCGTGTTTAAATACAAAAGTATTGCCTATACACTCGTGCAAAACATACAATTATTAAAACACTACAGTACGTCTCATCATTGGATCCAATTATTATAATATACTTATATAATGCCTGATATAATAAATATTCTCTATTCATCTAATATATCGTCTAATGTATCCTATCGTCTAATTTATAATATATATCCCCTAATTTAACAAATTGATACACTATTGTAAACAAGTGCAAACAGTCACGTAAAAACAGTAAAGCTGTATAGAGTATCACCTGATAATTAGGATTTTACATAGAATCTGAGAGTGCGTTTCATAATTCTGTATTTATTCCCGTGTAGAGATAAAGTGACGCTCTCAGATAAAGTTAATTACACTTTAATAAATTGTTTAAGTAAACCCTGTTTCCATTAAAATTAAACCAAAGGTAGAGTAAACTCTTTTTTCAGTTTTAGTTCCTTTTTTTTTAAAAAAAAAGCACTGTCTTATAATCTTAAATGTTTTGGTTGCCAAAACTTTTCACGTGCGTTTGGCAACAGACAGCCCACGCTCAGTAGAAAATAAAAACTGAAAAGTAAATCTAACCGAATAAATTATTTTTATGTCATGCTTTTTTGCTTTTGTAGAATTGTTTTTATGTATTCTTTAACATTGATAAAAATTACGATAGTGTTGGAATTGAAAATTAAAAGCGTTGCATTATAAAATGTCTTCTTGCCGTGGAATGCCAAGAATAAAGTTTAATAAGAAGAGAACGATTAAAAATCATTTAAGGCATTCCTTGAAGCAAAAGCAATTCTTTCGAGCTTATGATTAGTTTTTAGAATATTTTAGATAAAAAAAACCCATTTATTATTGCTTATTTTTACCCTATAGAAATTGCTTATTTTTACCCTATAGAAACAAAGTAGCCAAAGAGAACTTTGTAAATAGTGAAACTAAGAAGATAAAGATTCTAAGTAATATATTAGCGAGGTTAAGTAAATTTTAGCTTTACGTTGATAATACGAAATAGGTATTATTCTGTACCCTATCCACAAAATTCCAAAACTTTTAACCTTCATTTTAGATGTTTACGTTATCACATTCTTGACGTTGTAATTTGGTGCCAAAAGACAAATTTACTTCGTCTTTTTATTGCCAAATTATCTAAGAAACTTCTTCCACTCAAAGACCTGTAATCCACTGAGATCACCGAATAAAAAAGAATTGGCAAAATAAAATAGTTTTTTATAGTTAAATAAGACTAAAGTAAGATCTAATAAGAATAGAGTAAAATAATTGGATTAAAGTAGGACTTCAATAAGACTAAAGTAAGACCCGATAGTCTTATGATAGTAATATCTAATAAGACTATAGTGAAATAATTCGATTAAAGTAAGATGTCACTAAAACTAACGTAAAATCCGATAAGACTAACGTAATATNAAGATACATTAACGTAAACAAGTGCAAACAGTCTCGTAAAAACAATAAAGCTGTATCACCTGATAATTAAGATACATTAACGTAAACAAGTGCAAACAGTCTCGTAAAAACAATAAAGCTGTATCACCTGATAATTAAGATACATTAACGTAAACAAGTGCAAACAGTCTCGTAAAAACAATAAAGCTGTATCACCTGATAATTAAGATTTTACTAAGAATCTGAGAGTGCATCGTATAATTCTGTATTTATTCCCTTGTAGAGATAAAATGACGCTCTCAGATAAAGTTAATTACACCTTAATAAGGTGTTTAACTGAACCCTGTTTCCATTAAAGTTAAACCAAAGATAGAGTAAACTCTTTTTTCAGTTTTAGTTCCTTTTTTTTTTCAAAAAGCACTGTCTTATAATCTTAAATGTTTTGGTTGCCAAAACTTTTCACGTGCGTTTGGCAACAGACAACCCACGCTCAGTAGTAAATAAAAACTGAAAAGTAAATCTAGCCGAATAAATTATTTTTATGTCATGCTTTTTTTTGTAGAATCGTTTTCATGTATTCTTTAACATTGATAAAAATTACCATAGTGTTGGAGTTGAAAATTAAAAGTGTTGCATTATAAAATGTCTTCTTGCAGTGGAATTCCAAGAATAAAGTTTAGAAAGAAGAGAGCGATTAAAAATCGTTTAAAGCATTCTTTGACGTAAAAGCAATTCTTTCGAGCTTATGATTAGTTTTTAGAATATTTTAGATAAAAAAAAAACTTTTATTATTTCTTATTTTTATTAAATTTTTACCCTATAGAAACAAAGTACCCAAAAAGAACTTTATAAATAGAGAAACTAAGAAGATAAAGGTTCGAAGTAATATATTAGTGAGGTTAAGTAAATTTTAGCTTTAGGTTGATAATAAGAAATAAGTATTATTCTGTACCCTATCCACAAAATTCCAAAACTTTTAACATTCATTTTAGATGTTTACGTTATCACATTCTTGGCGTTGTAATTTGGTGCCAAAAGACAAGTTTTCTTCGTCTTTTTATTGCCAAATTATCTTAGAAATTTCTTCCACTCAAAGACCTTTAATCGACTGAGATCACCGAATAAAAATGAATTGGCAAAATAAAATAGTTTTTTATAGTTGAATAAGACTAAAGTAAGATCTAATAAGACTAGAGTAAAGTAATTAGATGAAAGCAAAACCTCAATAAGACTATAAGACCCGATAGTCTTATCGATAGCAAGATCTAATAAGACAAGAGTAAAATAATTCTATTAAAGTAAGACTCCAATTAGACTAAAGTAAGACCCGATAAAACTAACGTTATATCTAATAAGACTGAAAAAGTCCTCAAGAAATCTCCTATTTTTTGTCCCACAATAAGCTGTTCTATTAGAGTGAGAATCAAAATAAAAATTGTTTTAAATTGTAGGAGTCCAGAAGAAACAATCGTTAATAAATGACGAAAATTATGTAAAAACGAAATCAAGAAGATACAGGTAGATCAGCCATATTTTGAAAAGGCCGTAAGTTAATACTTCATCAATAGTTTTAATCTTATTGCCGGACAACAAAGGGAGAAGATCTATGTCGACATGGTAGGAGAGAGATGGCAAGTTTGTCTGATTTAATGTAGCTGACCAGTGGAGAGCTATAGTCACTGGCCAAATTATTAGACGCACTATGAGATTTTATGTAAAATCTTAATTATCGGGTGATACTATGCAGTCTTATTGTTTTTTCACTGCTGAAACCGGTTTATACCTGTTTACGTTTGTGTATCCATTGGTTAAATGAGACGATATATAGTATAAATTAGACGATTGGATACGTGAGACGATACATTATATAAGTATAGAATAATTTTTATATCAGGTATTATATAAGTATATTATAAAACAATTAGACCAAACTATGAGACGCACTGTAGTGTTTTTAATAATGACATGCTTTGCACGAGTTTATAGGCAATACTCTTATATTTAAACACATGTAATGCGTTTTTATAGAGAAGATTATACTTCCTATTTGTATTCATTTTAAACGCATTTCATCACAATTAATGTTAACCCATTAATACACGAACGTAAACAAGTGCCAACAATCTCGTAAAAACACTAATGCTGTGAAGAGTATCACCTGATAATTAAGATTTTACATAGAATCTTAGAGTGCGTTTCATAATTTATAGTGTGTACGAATAAGTTTAGAGAAAAAACTTTTTAGAGTGTATGAAAGTGAATGTCTCTAAAAGTGAATGTCTCTAAAAGAGTGTCAATTAAAGCCTTTAAGAGAAAAATTATGATAGTTGTAAAGGGAAATAATCCGCACTTCGGTAATCAAATGTGAGGCATTGTTGTAGTTGGAGGGACGGGCGTTACGATTAGTCAAAAAGAATATAATAAAACAATAGAGAGTGACGCTGTCATTGTTGTCGGCAATATGACTTTTCAATCCGAATATTACAATGGCGGGAAAAAAGCATTCCGACTATTACCCCTTTCGCTCTATACCTGATGTCAAATCCGATAGCATTCATTAATTGAGTCTATCGGAATGCGCTATCTCAATTGAGACAATTAAGCGGGAAAGAAATGTGCACATGCATGAAAAAAAATTTGCCTGACGGAAAAAAAAAGGAAATTTTTGTACTGAACAAATTAAAACTAAGCATACCAACATGTAATGTATAACTATTTCTACCATAGCCGATCAAATGATCAGACTGTTTCTTGATTGAATGCATGAAATATGGATGTTAGGAAAGATATAAACTAAAAATAATTAAACAAAATTGCATAGTGCCTATTTTTACATATTACAAACACAGAGAATAAGAATTTTTAATTCATTGCTCAAAGCATTTTTTACATATAAAGGGTGCTTCCATTGTGCATTTTCAGCAAACATATTTCCTCTAATGATTATTATTTCACAAATTCTTATAATTATAAGAATATATAAGAATTATAATTCTTTTAATTAATGTTGTTTCTTTTAAGAACTTGTGCTGTTTTCATTGCTTCGACATTTTT